TATGTGTTGCTAGGGCTCAGCTTCCTAATGGACAAAAAGTTGATAACAATAGTACCTATTTCTTGGGAATTAGGCATGTAAGTGTCAAATTATGTTGAATGAAAATCAAAGCAAATGTTGTAACTCCCAAATAGCACACTTTTTTGTTCTTTCATATAATAAAGTAAAATTTAACATACATGTAAATAACAGAAAAATGTAAGATCTTTCTGAAAAAAGAGGTAACATATTCCTATCAAAAGTCCAGTAGTTTGAATAAAATGTTTCCGTACAAAATTTCCCTTATTAATTCATACAGCACGCACCCAGTAAGTTATGTTCAACTAGGCCGTGCTAAATATATTAAGAAAAGGATGTACCATCCCAGCTCATTATAAGGTTATGTGACCTAGAAGGGAAAACAGGTATCAGAACATTTGACTATTTTATAGCAAATGTCTCCAAAATACATAAGCAATTTGCTACAAAAATTCATAAGAAAAACATGGTTGCTAAGCAACTAAGCACAGAACCTCTGGCTTGTGAACTAATCTCTACATTATCACTGGGCCCTGACTCATCACTGGTAAATGTCCAGGTTTCAAAGAGGTCTCTGGTGTGAAATAGCTAGATGGAGGATTTTGTAAACATGTATGAAAATGGGCAGGCATTCCAGACTCGCTAGCAAAAAGCCAATAATACCAGATGAGGCTGGCATTGTACAGCAATCCAAGATGCCAAGGAATTTCCAGGCTTTCATCAGTGCTAAAGAATAAACAGTACATCCTGTGCCTTTTGTGAACAGTTTGCTTCTCAGTGAGCTGATTAATGTATTTTCCTTTCATAGGTGTCTTTGGTTAGCTTGGTGGCCAATGCTCTTGGCTACTCAGAACTTGGTGCCATCAAATCCCTACGGACACTACGCGCTTTAAGACCCTTAAGAGCCTTGTCCCGGTTTGAAGGCATGAGGGTAAGAAGACTAGAAACTCTACAAGATTCATGTCAAAGCTGTGCATACAGTGATTTTTATACAGGACAGCATGATCTTCTGAAATATACAGAATTTCTGAAGTTCAGAGCCATATCTTAGAGATCACTAAGTTTAACTTCTTGCAACTGAAGGCTATTTAAGCAGGACATGAGGAATTTGGGCAGAGCAAAATCTACCATCCAAGGATCCTGCAAAAACAAAATCTCAGGGCTTATTTCTTCTCATTATCACATATTTTGAGATGTCTTCTCACTGCTGACTTACATTTTAGGAGGTCTTCTTGTTTTTCTAAATAAGTTTAATTCCTGGCAATGAATATCAGGCAAAATTGGTTTTTTGCACTTTACTTGTTGATTTAATATGAGTAATAAAAACTAGTTATACAAGAAAGCAAAAATAAATTACAAAATCTAGACATAATAAATAAGCAAAATACATTGCTAGGATAATTAGCTAAGTATTGAGACATCCTCAGATTTTGTTTTATAAAAGTAACTTTCAAATAAACATTCGGAATGTGCTTCATTTTCCATAGCTCTTGCATTTTCCTCCCTATTATTTTCCTTAGACACATATTACAGTTCGAATCATAAAGCACACACTTGCCAGGCCCCTTATGGTACTGTTTTGCACAAAAACCAGTATTTTTTTAGTCTGGTTTGCAAATGCATGTGGGTATTGAATTACTTCAAAGTTACAGGGTTTTCATGTGAGGAGGTGATTTGTTTGAGGCAATAAAATTGTTTCATCCTTGACTACAAAATGTACTCATCAGAATGTAACTACTCGCCAGACTCTTGGAAAGAAAGACATGTTTGGTTTTTACATTGCAATTTTAGTGCACCAATACTGTTAACAACATTATAGCAATTATTATTCACTTTCAAGTTCTTTTCAAAACCATCTCCTACCATCACTAATATTACTTAAGGTCTCATCTGATTTCATGGTTTCATACTAATAGTTCTTTTAAAGTGATGATAGTCACTGAACACAACAGAAAACTAGAAATTTTCTCTAATCTGATAAATTTTTATTCATTCATATGAAAAGATGAAAATTCCAGCCATATGAATCCTATATTTATTTGAAGATAAATGTATTTAAGAAGCATAGAGGATTTTACACATATTTTAGGATGAGAAAAAACTTAGCAACTGTAATATATTTGTGATTATTTCTTGAAGAAATAAAATTGAATTAGAACAGAAAAATTTTATAACATTGGGTTTCAGATTTTAATGTCAACTTAAAAGTTTTGATTTCTAAAATAATGTTTATGTTATTTTAAAAAAACAATAGATTAGTTGAATATAAATTCTAAACAAAACAGTCTGAAATGAACTAGATTAAGTGAAAAAGTTACTGTTGACCTCCTTAGAGATTTTAAAATACATCGTAGTCTTTTCTAAATTTTATAAGATGAAAGGGGATTGAATTTTCCCTTAACCAAATAGGGTGGCCTAGCTAGAAGAAATAGCATGTGCTCCCAAAGGGAACATTTAAGAAACTTGGTATAATAATAGTGAGGTTATAGTCAGTATTCTTACATCTATAGATAAATCTCACTTCTTACTCTTAATATATGTTTTAAAATTAGAATTTCACAATCAGAACAAAAGGATCTTGTATAGTCCTGTACCTATTCTTCATAGCTACAAAAAGTTACCTGCTCTGATTACACTTTAAAAAAATTTTTACTACTTTGATTATTTGTAAAAGGTTTGTTTGTTCATTTATTCAAATCATCAATAATTCAGACTCTTGAAAATTGAAATGTATTATTTAAAGATGATCATTTATTCTGTTGGCATTTAATATGTTTTTTTCTTTTTTTCCTAGCACAGAAACATTTTCTGACTCCATCTTACTTTATCAGGTTTTTGTTTATTTCTTTTTGTACATTAGTGTATTTTTGTTTCCCTCAAATCCTCATATCCTTACCTGTATTCTTGTCTGTTTTCTCTTATCAAGTATGAATGATAAACTATTAGAAAAAAAAGTCTTAGAACTAGAAATCTACCTAGATCATTATTTAACTCTTTTCAAACACCTTTTAGTACTAAATACAAAAGTGGACAGACTGGTTCCCATCTTGGTCACTTGTATCTTGTGTTTTCCTCAATGACCCTTCCAGGTGGTTGTGAATGCCCTCGTCGGAGCGATCCCCTCTATCATGAACGTGCTTCTGGTCTGTCTCATCTTCTGGCTGATCTTTAGCATCATGGGCGTGAATCTGTTCGCCGGCAAGTTCTACCACTGTGTTAACATGACGACTGGTAACATGTTTGAAGTTAGTGAAGTCAACAATCTGAGCGACTGTCAGGCCCTTGGCAAGCAAGCTCGCTGGAAAAACGTGAAAGTGAACTTCGATAATGTTGGTGCTGGATATCTTGCGTTGCTCCAAGTGGTAAGTGGCTCCTGTGAGTTTTGAAAACAGGTTTTAGAATTACTCAATTTAGATTATTTCTCTGCTTATTTTCATTATGTGATTAACTTTTGACACACAAAAGTATTTGATAACAGAAATGATATTCACTAGATTTGATTATAGAGTAGTTGCTTTTGTATTTTCCCATGGTACAGCTTTCAATATATTTTAATGTGACATTATATTTCTTCCATTTTTCTTCTTGTTTTATTGAACACAACTATCATTTGTAGTTTCCCATAGTGATCATTCCCAAAGCAACAATTTTTGCATATTAAAATAATAATATGTATATTACAGTGATCAATTTAATGTATTAGGCAGAAACTTATATAGTAATATTTTAAAAATATGATTTTACTATGAATAGAAAAGTGGATTTTAAAATATATAATGGTTAATATGTTTACATAACTAACAGTACATGTACTAAGGAAAAATTAAAGAAATTGATTGAATTGCATTAAAACATAACTATAGTGTTGAATCATAGAGCTTACTTTTGACATAAAAGAAGATAGAAGGTAAGCTTGAGATGGAAATTTCATTAATTAAATCTCAAGTTAAATGTTTCTCTATCAAAAACATCTGCCTAGCAAGCACAAAGTCCTGAGTGTGATTTCTTTTTTTCTTCCCCCCCTTTGGCAGAAACAGGGATTGAACTCAGGCCCTTGTGCTTGCCAGGCATCTGAGTTTGATTTCTGGTACAAAAAAAAAGAAAAAAATATCTTCCCAGAGAAAGCAAGTTTTAGCCTCAAAATAAAAACCTTTTTTGAATTTCAATTTTATTTCCTCAATTCATTTCAGTCTTTTCATAGCAAGTTTCATAATATTGTACATAATTATTTATGATAACAATGTCAAAATCTCATCAGATACTGTGCCAGTCTTTGATGAAATTTTTATGCAGAATTCAAATATATATTGTTTACAGGCCACATTTAAAGGCTGGATGGATATTATGTATGCAGCTGTTGATTCACGAGATGTAAGTATCTCTTAACTACCATCTGTTTATAGCCATATATGTTTTAAATTTTCCTTGTTAAATATTGTACATAATTTTACTAAACTAGAATTTAGTAGTACATAAAATCAGAGTATTTATCATTGCATATGAAAATTTTCAATTTAAACTAATACACTTTTACATAAATATTTTGGTTAATATCTGTCTAATATGTATCTACTATGAAAGACTAACTGCACGGATCAGAAACATCAGATTAGTCCTATAAATAAGACTACTCAGTGTGAAAGTTGCACAGTGGCAGAGTATTTCTGTATCCCTGGAGAGTCTGATCAACTAGTCTACAAAGGAGTTTCCAAGAATATTATGATACTTAAAAGCAAGCAAGTTTCATGGAAACTCAATTTTGAAAACAGAAATAAAAATAGTTCCCCAAAAATCTATTTATTCTGTAATTGACTCTTAGAATTTGAAATTCTGCTACTAAAGCCATGTCTTGAAGAGCTAGCATTTTCAAAACCAATAATGTATTGCAAGAACAGAATGTTTTTCCTATTTATATCACTTTAATTTATGCTAAAAAAAATGTTAGAGTCAAGACACAATGATAAAATAGACTCAAGAACAATTTAGTATTTGCAATTCATTTTTGTGGTAATTTGAAAATTTTCTTTTTATGAAATAGTATCTTAGATAAAAGTAATTGTGTCAAGTAACATTCACTATAATTATTAACGTATTTATCACTTTAATATCATTTACTATTTTCAATATGATTTAGGTTAAACTTCAGCCTGTATATGAAGAAAATCTATATATGTACTTATACTTTGTCATCTTTATCATCTTTGGATCATTCTTCACTCTAAATCTATTCATTGGTGTCATCATAGACAACTTCAACCAGCAGAAAAAAAAGATAAGTATTCCTTAGCTCCCACTTTTCACTATTTTTAGTTTCTATAGGTCATGCAACCAGCAGGATGCTTGTAGCCATCATGGACCTGGGTCCTGGTGGTCTCATTTCCAGTTTACTTCATGATTAGTGAAGCTACAGAGCCCAGTCAGCAGCTCGCCTCCAGGTGCACCCCGCTTGGAAAGGCTGAAGTTGCTTTCTGACACAGGAATTTGACACTGTTTCAAAACACCTACTAGAGCCTTCCAGAAATTCTCTCCATCCGATTTTCCAGCTTTATGCTCGACACCGCCTGCTTTGCATCGGCCGCCCTGCCGCCCAATCACTACAGACCCCCATTACCACCACCGGTACTTGCTATCCACAGATCTTCAGGAACTTTTCTAATCTTTTTTCTGGGATGCATTTTCCAATAAATTATTCCTTACAAGAAAAAAACAATGTCCAGGGATGTATCTCAGTAGCATAAGTACCTGCCTAGCAAGCACAAGGTCCCATGTTTGATCCCTGGTACTGCCAAGAAAAAAAGTTACAAAACGATATTGTAGAAGAGTAACAATGGATAGTATACTGTGTATTGTGTAAAGTAGTTGCCCATATTGTAATATATAGGCATGAAAACCTGATCGAACAATATAGGACAACCCTTTCTTTTCAATTAACTAACAGCAAGTAGTAGTATGACTATCTTGACAGTATTGTATGTATATGTATTTTTTTTTAATTTTCCTTCCAGAAAATTCATCATCCTGTAATTCTCAGATTAAGGGCATTATCTATGTAAAACTCTAAATCTCCCAATGTATTCTTGTTTCTGCAGTGCTTTTTTTCTCATACCTCTGTGTATTTTCCAACTATGTTTTTAGTCTCTTGCCTGTTGAGGAGTAAGACACTTAATAATATGCCATGTATCTATGTAATTCTGAGATCAAGGATACACCCCCCAAAAAAAGGATACAACCAAAATGGTCAAAATTATTGGTTACAGCAGCAAAAGAAAACATATTCTATTTCAGCAAATAGATTTGAGACCCTTAAACTTCCTTTAAAACCTACTATAATGAAGTTAGGATCCTGAGCTAATCAGAATTGTATGTACTCATCATTTTTGCATTTTACTAAAGTATTTCAGCCATCACATAAATGCAATAAGCATAATAATTACATAATTAAAAGGAGAGTATCCATTTAGAAAATGAACAATACTAAAGGAAGATTTAAGGGCCAACAAGATAGCTCAGTGGACTCAAGCATCTGCTTAGGCAAGCGCAGGGACAGCGGTTCAGTCCCTGCCACCACATGGCACCAGCCCAGCTCCCAGGGCAGGCTAAGCTGGTCACAAAGTCTGGGCATGGTGGCACACACCTGTAATCCCAGTGCTGGGGAGGCTGAGAACAGGAGGATCACTATGAGTCTGAGCTGCATAGTGAGACCCTGTAAAAACCACATACATTAAAAAAAAAAATTAAGTGTTTTAAAAGTACTGTTGTAGCACGTGTTGGGATTGTAACCAGTTTTATACTATGTCTTCACTTTGGAGGTCAAGATATTTTTATGACAGAAGAACAGAAGAAGTACTACAATGCAATGAAGAAACTTGGATCCAAGAAACCTCAGAAACCAATACCTCGGCCTTCAGTAAGAATTCTTATATTCTTTGAAATCTAAAGCCAATCATGTTGAATAATGCTCTGAATCAGTGCATTTGGATGGCACCACCAACACAGAGTCCTAATTATAAAGTGCATACTGTACAGAACAATCTACATCTGCTATGCACAATGCCAATTGCCAGGTTCTTATAATTCGGTGCTCATCTTTACATTTTGTGAGTTGTAAACCTCCAACACAGAGTTCCTAATATCTTCCAACTGCCAATGCCAAATATGGTTGGTGTTCCTCTGATCTTATTGTCACATGCTTTTTATGTAGATAGAGCTTTCTAGATTTGGCTCATTCCCCTTGGCCTCCCTCCTTGCTCTTTGATCTTTCATTCTTGAGATTAGAAAACATTCCTAACCAGCTTAGAAAAGATGTCTGACATCAAAAGCACTTATTGTTTAACCACATACAAACCTAAAAGTTTATTCAGAATGCACACTTTGTATCACTTCATAATATTAATAGAATGGTATAATGATAATGGATCATGTTCACAGAGATAAACTCTAACTCTTCTGTCCTCCTCTGAGATAGGTAAGAAAAAAAGAAATTGAGGTCCGAGAAAAACAAATTCTGAACCCCAGATCACAAAACATTGTACTTACCAGAACTGAGACTTGGCAAGGTCTCATGTATCCTATCAGTTACTTTAGTTGACTGTATTTTTAAGAATTACTGGAGTTGAGATGTGGAGGGTGAAGCAGAGAAAGATGTAGGATGGTGTCCGTAAGAGAGTGAACCTACTTCACTGAAGGTTGCTGAAACTGGGAAACATAGTTACTTTGTGAATTTTTGTTTTGCATCAGCTATGTAATTTCTTTCTTATTCTAAATTAGTAAAAATTTCTAAAACAAAATTATATTTGACAACCATATTAATATAGGAACCTTTGAAGGCAAGTGATTTTTCAGATGGCGGTTAACTGAACAAAAACGTTTTTCGAAAGTCATGAGTTTTTGTCAAAGCATTGGGAAAGATGAACAACAAATGTAAAGAAAAATAGATAAATTAACAAACACATAGACACAAAAAACTAGAAAGGTTGAACTAAAAAAAAAACCAATATACTTTGAGAAGTAAGGTATAACGACAAATTCCTAAATTATTGATATGCTAATTGGGTATTCATCTACCTACAAGCTTGCCTAGATTAACCTTCTTCATAAATCTTCATTATTGCTATTACTACTACAGAATTATCAGTTATGACCTTCAAGCAAAATCTGTGCATATGGTTAGTGAGTTACCATCAATTTATAGTTTTTTTTATTTAGCTTTGTCTCTGAAGGGCCTAAGTGAGCCACCATATCTTCTGTTGTTACAGTATACTTTTTAGTCTTTTAACATGAAGCAAAAAGAGCACACAAAATTGTTTAAGGTCATGTGAGAAAGGTGTACATCTTATGACCACTAAGTGGAGAGACATGCTCCTCCATTTTACTAAATCATTACTTTAAATTAGATGCACTAACCTGCACTATGCACCCTCTCTTTCCAGAACAAATTCCAAGGAATGGTCTTTGATTTCGTAACCAGACAAGTCTTTGACATCAGCATTATGATCCTTATCTGCCTCAATATGGTCACCATGATGGTAGAAACAGACGACCAGAGCAAATACATGACCCTAGTCTTGTCCCGGATCAACCTTGTGTTCATTGTCCTGTTCACTGGCGAGTTTGTGCTGAAGCTCATCTCGCTCCGATACTACTACTTCACAATAGGCTGGAACATCTTTGACTTCGTGGTGGTGATTCTCTCCATAGTGGGTAAGAATGGCTGAATTACAGTGGAAATGAAGTAGTAGTGAGACAGATGCCCCACGTACCACCAGCTGCTTGACATGGAAACTAGGTCTGAGAGTAGTAGTCCATGTAAATCTATAATTCAAGATTAATGTATTTGGATAAAATCTCTGAAACCTGAGTTTATTGATCAAGACACCTAGTTAGAAACTATATTAAAAATAGTAGATTTGAAAAGAGCAGACGAAACAAAAAGCATCAGATACTGCCCTTGTCCTCAACAACATTATAAACTGGGAAGGAAATGAATGTCTCTGACAAAAATTATTACAGTGCAGTAGGATTATTACAACAAGAAGCACTGAAGAGGCAATAATTGATGCTGCTCAAAAGAGTTAACAATCTTCCAGAGATAAGAGTGACCTATCTGAGGAAGATCTTAAGAGGATTGAGATTTGAGGAGAATGGAGAAGGTAGCATATTATAGAACTCCACATGTAGAGCTTCAGGTCAAATGTTATCCATTTTCTTCTAACTGAAGAGTGTCATTATTCAAAATTAAAAGGATGCATTCATGTTTCAGAAATAACCTCTGTCATTGCCACATCCCATAGTAAATAGGGTATATAATCTTAAATTGTTATGTCAACAGCTGAAATTAGTTGGACTTCGTAAAAGTTCATATTGACTTATATAATTCCAGATTCCTTCAATAAAACTGAGTAATCTTTAATCTAATATCACAGAATGTATCCATATATTTAGTAAAGGTTTATATTCAAAACAAATCTGTTTTCATAGACTATCAACAGATGAAACATTCCTGTAAGGGCAAGATACTCTATTCACAGTTCAGCTGTGTTCTGTGTTATTCCATAGGGATGTTTCTTGCCGAGATGATAGAGAAGTATTTCGTGTCCCCTACCCTGTTCCGAGTTATCCGCCTGGCCAGGATTGGCCGAATCCTCCGTCTGATCAAAGGAGCGAAGGGGATCCGCACACTGCTCTTTGCTTTGATGATGTCCCTTCCTGCTTTGTTTAACATTGGCCTGCTGCTCTTCCTGGTCATGTTCATCTACGCCATCTTTGGAATGTCCAACTTTGCCTATGTTAAAAAGGAAGCCGGAATTGATGACATGTTCAACTTTGAGACCTTTGGCAACAGCATGATCTGCCTGTTCCAAATCACCACCTCTGCCGGATGGGATGGATTACTGGCACCTATCCTCAACAGTGCACCTCCAGACTGTGACCCTGACACAATCCACCCTGGAAGCTCAGTGAAGGGTGACTGTGGGAATCCATCTGTTGGGATTTTCTTTTTTGTCAGTTACATCATCATTTCCTTTCTGGTCGTGGTGAACATGTACATCGCTGTCATCCTTGAGAACTTCAGTGTTGCCACTGAAGAAAGTGCAGAGCCCCTGAGTGAGGATGACTTTGAGATGTTCTATGAGGTTTGGGAGAAGTTTGACCCTGATGCAACCCAGTTCATAGAGTTCTCCAAGCTCTCCGATTTTGCAGCTGCCTTGGATCCTCCTCTTCTCATAGCAAAACCAAACAAAGTCCAGCTCATTGCCATGGACCTGCCCATGGTCAGCGGAGACCGGATCCACTGCCTGGACATCTTATTTGCCTTTACAAAGAGGGTTCTGGGTGAGAGTGGAGAGATGGATGCCCTGCGGATACAGATGGAAGACCGATTCATGGCATCAAACCCATCCAAAGTCTCCTATGAGCCCATTACAACTACTTTGAAACGCAAACAGGAGGAAGTGTCTGCTGCTATCATTCAGCGTAATTTCAGATGTTATCTTTTAAAGCAAAGGTTAAAAAACATATCAAGTAAATATAACAAAGAGACAATCAAAGGAAGGATTGACTTATCTATAAAAGACGACATGGTTATTGACAAACTAAATGGGAATTCTACCCCAGAAAAAACAGATGGAAGTTCCTCCACCACCTCCCCCCCTTCTTACGATAGTGTAACAAAACCAGACAAGGAAAGGTTTGAAAAAGAAAAAGAAAGCAAAGGGAGAGAGGTCAAAGAAAATCAAAAGTAAAAAGAAACAAAGAGAGATCTTTGTAATCAATTGTTTACAGCCTATGAAGGTACATGTGTCACCTGGACTCCCAGAGGGCGTCCCTGCCAAACTGACTGTTTCAACAAATACTCATGGTCAGTGCCTATACAAGACAGTGACCTCTCTGTCACTGAAACTCTGTGAAACAGGGCCCCAACTTTGACAGGAGGTTACTGCTCTCATTACCAGCTGACACTGCTGAGGAGAACTCAATGACTACCTAGATTATAGGAATAGTTGTGCTAAGTGACCGTTGTAACTACACCAAACACCTTTAGTACAATACTCGCATCCACTCTATTTTTAACTTCCATATCTGCCATATTTTTACAAAATTTCTTCTGGTGAATTTCTCTGATCCCTAATTCATAGTTTATTCATATTACTATGTCACTATTTTTGTAAATGAAGTTTACGTTATGGGGAAAGTATATAAGATCCCAGTGTTCCTACTCCACAAATCTTTAAAATACTTGGACAGAAATATTATGCCAGAGAGATGAAATTCTTGCTCAAAACCAGAAAACGTGTAATGTTAACAGTTTCAAATACTTCCATTTTCTAGATGGCTTTAATTTTAAAGGTGTTTAGTCTATTATGTTTGTTTATACCTGAACAGTTATGTGCCTGTAAAGTCTCCTCTAATATTTAAAGGATTATTTTTATGCAAAGTGTTTTGTTTCAGCAAGTGCAAATTTTAATCTAAGTTCCAGAGCTCTATATTTAATTTTGGTTAAATGTTTTCCGAAAAAAAAATCTAATAAATGTGTTCTAGAAAAGTATATCTAAAGTATCACTTTAAAATAGTTTTTCCACTTTCTGCTACAGTATTGCTTTGCCATTTTCTGCTCTCAGAAAAGCTGACAGTTGATGTCAAATGCCCTCTGTTATGTAAATAGTTATTTTATTCTGTGGTGCATGTT